AGTTTACAAGCACTAAGGCAGCACGTCCACAAGCGAGTCAAGAGCTGAAAGAACGGCAGCGGCAGCAGCGCAAGTGCAGCTGGCGCCCAGGAGTCCAAGCCAGCAGCCCGCCGCGAGCTAGCCCGAAGGCAGGCCAGCACCGCAGCAGGAGTCGGATGTAGCAAGTCATCAGCCCAAGGAGCCGTTGCCGGGCCCAGGCGGGCACACCAATCGCGAGTCTCCTCCGAAGTGTGCGGCGCGGGGGTCGACCATTGAGCTCCCCACTTGGCATGCTCAGCAGCAACAATGTCTATGGGATGCACCGGTGCATCGTCAAGGGGGCCAGGAGCCGGAGCAGCCGTGCGGCAGACCCAGCGCCGCAGTCGGTGCACGTTGTTTTGCACAGCATCATGCCATTGCCTGACCCGGCACTGCGAAGCCGAAACCTCAAGCTGGGCCGCCCGCCGCAACGCAGCATCAGCGATCACCTGAGGGGAAGCGCAGTCCGTTAGACCTTGCTCAACCGCATCCCGAAGCACACGTTGCCTAAGGCTAGCAGCCGAGGGATCCTCAGGGCGTCGTTGGAGTTCCAGTGCGCGCCGCGCAAGGCGGCGCAGGCGGCGCTCCGGATGCGATTGCAAAGCTTCGCTCTTAGTCGAAGGGGGGGGGCGAGGCCTAGGGGAAACAACCCAAGCACGGGGCAAGTGACCGGCATCGGAGTGCGGGTCCCCAGTCAACAAGGACTCAGCGGCATGGCTAAGGAGAACCCAAGCAGCATTAACATCCGAAGCATGTAGCGCCTGGTCAAACGCAACATCATGCTGGGCCCACGCCTGCTCCCAAGCCTCGGTCGTGACGGGAGGGAGGTCAACAGACAGCGGCCGGCGCGAGGGCGCCCGTGGTAGCTCCCGGGTGTCCTTAGCCAAAGAAAAGGAGTAAGCCACCAAATCGTGATCAGCAGGACCCGGGGCCTGCTGGCGGTCCAACGCAGGAACCCCCACGGTGGACAACGCGAAATCCACACATCGGCCAGTAGGCTGGCCGTGCTCATCCCGGCGGGTGGGCCGCAAAGGAATGTCCCCCTCGACCGTTTCGTCAGCCAATCGCCAAAAGCCCGCAGCCCTGGCGTCAGCAATCGGAGCCCGGTCCGGGGGAAGGTTGTAGTCACCGAGCAGAATGGTCTCATCACCCCGCGCCGCAGCGAAGCTGAAAACATCATCAAGAAGCTTAGCGGCCAGCGCCTCAGAAGCTGCGGGAAGGTACAAGTTGAGCAGCATAATGGGCCGCCCCACCGGGCGGTGCAACCGCACAGCAGAGCCACGCCCCACAGGCAGCAAGCCCTCGGGCAAAGCGAAAGGCATCACAGGCAGTCGGGAAAGGATGGCCGTACCGTAGTGGACCTGCCCAGCCACGTTAGCAGCTTGGGAGCCCAAAGCACAATGCCATCCCGCATGGCGAAAAGCCGATTCAACAGCAGCCCTCGAATGATCAGGCACCCGCGTCTCCTGAAGCGCCAAAACATCAAGGGAAAGAAGCACAGCGAGTGCAGCCACAGAGGCAACCCGCCCAGCCAAGGTGCCCACGTTAAGGGTCCCAATCCTGACACGGGTGGGCCACGTCATTGCGAACCCCCCCGGCCCTGGCAAGGCGGCACAGCGTCAACGGACACAGCAAGCACATGATCATCAGAGCCGGCGGCCCCACAGGCATGAAGGTCAAGGGCAGCAGTCCCGGCATCACCAAGAGCAACAACCTCAGTCGGGCCGGCCTGTCTGGACGCCTCGGTGGGCAGCACCTTGTCAAGTAGCTGCAGCACATGCTTGGCGGCTCGAACGATCACCTGGTCCTGGTCCTGCGTGGCATGCACAAGGTCACGGCGAACACGAGCCCCGCCCCGAACAACAGCATCACACAGCTTGCGGCGATCAAGGGAAACACGGCTCTTGCGGCAGGCGGCACAGCGCAAGCACAGGAAGCGAAGCTCAAGCTCAAAGCGCTGGTCTTTCAAGAAAGGCCAGGCCACAGCAGCAACATCGTGAGCGCGCAAAGCCGGCGGCGGCAGCGCCTTGGCAGTGAGCCGGCGGCGCGCGGGCCCCGGTGGGGCAATGCAAGCAAGCAGCTGGCGGCAACCATCAAGCAAAGGGGCAGCATGCCGAGCATCAGCAATCATAGCCCTCACACGCGCCTCGAACTTGGTGCGGGAAGAGGTTGGGAGCTTGTGCTCGCACGCCTGTGCGAGCAGCCGCTTCGGTGTAGTCGCAGTGGCGGCGCAACGGGTGCATGCATAAACGATGCGAGTGCTCCTCGGCTTCTTGGCCGGCTTGCCAAACCAAGGAATCCTGAAAAACCGAACATCATGCGAGCCAAAGTCGCCCCGACGCCTCATGAGGATGCGGCGGGCGACCCCATCAGCAAGCCTGGTAGCCGAGGCCTTTTGCACACCAGACCTGGCCTGTGGCAGCAGAAAGCGGCGCTTGGGGGCATCGGGGTGGCACTGGGATCGATGGCGCAAGCGGGCCTGCAGCAGCACATCGGGGCTTCGATCGGGGGCCTTAAGCAAAGCCTTGTCACACAAAGGGCATTGCCATTCAACCTGATCATCGGGGCCCGGTGTCACGAACTGCAGCGGCCGGCGCACGAAGTCCTGCAAATGCTCGGGGTGCCAGGCCTTAAGGTGCTGGTGCCGGTAAGCGCACCAATGCTTGCCACGCGCAACATAATCACACCAACTGCACTGCCAGCAATCCTTGGCCTTGATGGTGCGGCCCTTGAGCAAACGACCTCGGGAGTCATAGCGCTGCTGGTCCCCCACGGCCGGCGGCACAGGCAAGCAATCCTCAAGAAAGTCGTCAGGCGTGCCCGGTGCCACAGGCCCCGCGTCCAACACTTCATCAACAGCAGCCGGGCCAGCCGCTGCAGCAGCAATGGGCCCACCGAAGAAAGAGCGGATGCTCCGAGTAGCGACGGGCGAGGCAGTGCGGGCCCGCTTGGCCCGAAGCTTCACCGAAGTGGGCGCCGACGAAGCGACCGAACCATGGACCGAGGCCGCGCCAGCAGCAACAGCAAAGGCGGGGCCGTCCGACGTATCAGCACAGGCAAGCCCAGGCATCTTAACCGAAGAGGGCGCGGCTGGCGCAACCGAGGCGGCATGCAGCAGGGCACTTTTGCGAGCCTGGGCCCGCTGCTTGACCGAAGTGGGCGCCGAAGAGGCAACCGAAGCACAGGCCTGGGAATCAGAGCGCGAGGCCCCCACAG